TTATTTATATCATTCTCCGTTCACAGACCCCCTTGCCCCCTTTTCAAGAACAATAAATTTATTAAAAATATAATCTAGTCACGTTTCACACTCAAAGTAGGCTAGAACTACAACAAAACTTCCCTATTTCAAACTAGCTTGGAAATACACAATGCTCTATACCCATAAAAAAGAGAGAGGCAAAGAAAACTCCAACGAAAAACTGACCAGTTAAGACCAAGAATTTCCTCTGCGCGGTAGCCAGTAACCATCTCGAACACGGAATTTACATAAATAATGGGATGGTCAGGCTCCAAAGCATCCGTGACGGCAAACCCGCAAGGAGCAGGCTGCAGAAGTGTGTCCATGGGAAACGGCAGTTCACCTGGACCGCTCTTCCTCAACCAAAAACCCAACCCTTCTCCTGCATCCTCCTCCTCCGCACCGCTCAGATCAGACTCCGAGTCGCTGTCCCACTCCATCCAACTTTATCGAACAATATGAAATCAAATTTTCCCAACTCTTCACCCCATAACAAGTGGCAGCGAAAATTGATAAAAACAACACTAAAAGTCGGGATTTGAATTCTTAACTTATCAATTGCAGACAGTCAATTGTAACCCCCTTGACAAGATAACAATAACAACAATAACTTGCAATTTCTAATTGTAGGTTTTAAGGTTTTTTACTTTGGGGAAACGAATGACCGGCAAAAACAAGAGGGACGAATCAAGAGAAAAAGGAGAGTCAATAAAGTTAATTTCTTGATGACGTCTGATAATATGTGTGTTGTGTATATACTTACACCGCCTTGAGGAAAATATGAGATGAAAACCCAAAAAATATCTGCGGCTGATGAAGGGTGGCCTGGCTTGGGAGTGGATGAAGATGCGTAAAAATATCGTTTTGAAATAAGGTTGTACCCTTTGCTCTGTTTGTTGTACAGTGTCCTTTCAGTGTCGTACCTCGTGATGTTTGGGTATATGAACATGGTTAAGGTCGGTTTGGGATAAGTTATTTTGAGGTGATGCACATGTAACTAACATTCTTGAATTTTAAACTACATGTAAGATTTAGTTATAGTTATTTTTTGACATTTGCTAAGTGTTTGTTTATTTTAACATCTCAGACTTCAATTTCAACTACACACTTCGTATAATTCATATTTTTATCAATTTTTTTACTATGTTTTTTTCAGACCAATTATTTACCTATCGATCGTGCTATTCATTCAATTCGATACTAACAACAATAGTCAAGCAATTACTGCATTTATGCTAAACAATCAATGATAATTGAACACTTCTATATATCGTGTTACTTTTAAACTCAAGAAACATACCATTATTCACGTGATTTCTAGACGTTACACCAAATTGATAAGAACAAGCTATGATCTTTACACCTATTTTCAGTATGATTGGAACTTTTTACAAGCTGGACAATTGATCTTTGGGGGTTCATGGGGCTGACCGCTAGTTGGTATAGCATAGCAACTTCAGTGGATACAGGCTTTGTATGGCCAAACTTGCTTAGCAATTACGTCGACAAAATTTTGTTCATGTTTGGTTCGGATTAAAATTTGATTTTAATTCAAATTAAAGTCAAACAATCAATATTAACCACATCTTTTATGGATCCCACAATTTTTCAATCACACATTTCAAAAACTTCTACCTCAATATACTAAAAATTTAATTTTAATCTTCATCAAACACCCTCTTAATAAACACAAGTTAATCGTAAAAACAAGTGCATCCTTATTAATATAAAATTAGAGTCTTTGCTATATATACC